ATTGTGGTCAGTCTAGCCACGGGTGAGTAAGTATCAAAGAAGTCTTCACCTTCTTTCTGGGTATAACCCTTAGCCACAAGACGTGCCTTGTACTTTTCAATCGTACCATCAGGTCTAAGCTTCTTCTTGAACACCCAGTTACATCCTACAGGTTTGCACCCATAAGGATGGTCAGTGATCTCCCAGGTTCCGTTAGCTAAGATGGAATCCATATCGCTACGAACAGCTTCCTTCCAGTAGTCAGCATCAGGAGATGCATAGGCTTCTGAAATAGTCCCGGGTGTGTCATCCACAAGGTACACAATGAAATCATCACCAAAGGACTTTGCAGTCCTCTGTCTCTTACTCCTTACAGGAGTTTCATTGTCACCCTCAACAGGATTCTCAACGTGTTCCATCGCAATGGTGCGTTCAGGAATTACAGTGAGTTCCTCACTAGATGGAGTAGGTATCTCCTGATTTGATGAACTTGACATATCCTTCATAGGAAATATGTCCTCAAAGAAAGTTGCATCATTAGACTCCATAATCGTACCAACACGCATGTCGGATACCTCAGATTTTATTATCAAAAATCTATAGCCAATGCTATGAAAAGCATTGCCCAGAAGAAGACAATGCACGATTTTTGGTCCAAGCTTGCGCTTCTTGGGAATTTGTATATTGACTTTCGCCAAACAACCCCAAGAACGTAGGTGAGAGAGTTTCAACCTTTTCCTTTCCCATTCCTGAAATGGAGTCATGGTCTTATGCTTTGTGGGAACTCGGTTTAGGACATGACACGCGGTCATTAGCGCCTCCCCCCACCATTTCTTGGAAAGACCCGATGTGTCTAACATGGCGTTAACCAGACCAGTTAGAGTTTGGTTCTTTCTTTCGACCACCCCATTAGACTGAGGTGAGTAGGGAGGCGTCCTCTCATGGATTATACCATGTTTCACGCAAAACAGATCAAATTCATTGGAAAACTACTGTCCACCACGATCGGACCTAAGCTGTTTAATTTTTCGATCAAGTTGGTTCTCTGCCTCAGCTTTATAGTTTTTGAAGAAAGTTAAAGCCTCATCTTTTGGTTTCAGAAGATACACATAACAATATCTAATGGAGTCATCAATCAACGTCATGAAATATCTCTTTCCACCTTTTGTCAACAGGCCATTCATCTCACAAAGATCAGAATGTATAAGCTCTAGTGGCGCCAAGTCTCTTGCCTCTGCACTCTTATGGGACTTGCGAGGTTGTTTAGCTTGCACACATACTTGGCACTTAGAGCCTTTGACAGTAGATATTTTCGGAATTAAATTCATATTAGCTAGCCGCGTCATGCAACCAAAGTTAATATGACAAAGTCGTGAATGCCAAATATCCGACTCATTATTGTGGCAAACATTATTAATAACTTTAGTGCAAATATCTGACAAAGATAGGCGGAACAAGCCTCCGCACTCATAGCCTTTTCCAACAAATTGTCCACACTTGGAAATTACAACTTTATTGGACTCAAAAACCAACTTAAAACCATCTCAACATAAACGGGAACCGCTAATGAGATTTTTATTGATGGACAGCACATGATGAATGTTCTTCAAACGCACGGTCTGGCCCGAAGTAAACTTCAGGTCGACCGTACCGACACCTCGAACGATGGCATGTGACTCATTCCCCATCAGCATGGTAGAAGTACCCGTGACCTGGTAAGAAGAAAACATTGAAGCGTCAACACAAACATGTACATTGGCACCGGTGTCAATTGACCAATCAGGAGATTGAAATGCTGAAAGGATCATAGGAAGAATACCGTACCCAGATTCCTTCATATCAGTATCACCGTTGACAACATTAGCGGACTTGCCCCTCTTCTCATGTTCGCGCTCCTCAAAGCGGTTAGGACACTTCGGAGCCCAATGATTAGGATCACCGCAGACATGGCAAAGTCCCTTCCCCTTCTTGTGAGAATTCTTCTTGAAGTTGGTAGAATGCGATGGCTTGTTCTTTGTATCAAACTTGCCTTTGCCCTGAGTTTTGTTCTTGTTGTTTTTGAACTTGTTGGGCTGGAAGTTCTTCTTCTGTATCATGTGGGCACTAGAAGCTCCCTCAGCAACTCGAGCACGTGTGTCCTTTGCTCTCGCCTTCTCTTCAACATCAAGAGTACCAATGAGATCCGCAACGGAAAACTCTTGTCTCTTGTGTTTCAGGGAAGTAGCAAAACTGTTCCACGAAGGTGGAAGCTTGGCAATGATGCCTCTAGCAACAAATTTGTCCGGCAACACACACTTGAAGTACTCAAGTTCTTTTGCGAGCGACTGTATCTCATGAGCCTGTAGAACAGAGCGCTCATCAGTCATCTTGTAGTCATAGAATTGCTCCATGACGTACAACTCGCTGTCGGCGTCCGAGGCACCAAACTTCGCCTCGAGCGCAGCCCACATGTCCTTGCCGTTGTCAAACGACATATACGAGTCCACAATGGAGTCATCAAGAACACCCAGAAGAGCGCCTTTAAAGAGAGTATTGATCTTCTCAAAAGTTTTCAGCTGTGCTGGATTAAGATTGCCCTCAGGCTTGCCCTTGGTGGCGTCATAGCAGCCCATGGTCTGAAACTAGTAGACTGCCCTCGTGCGCCACCTCTTATATTGTGCCCCCTTAAAGGCAGGCGGCTTCAGATGCGCAGCAAAACCACTCGGAGCAAATTGCCTATAATCAGGTTTTTGGATTGTTGGAAATATGAGCAAATTACTACGAGATTTAATCCGAATAAACAGAAAATAAATCATGACTACAGTAGCAGAGATTGAACTAATCATGCGAACTAGCATAGCAGATGAACAAATCACATCTAGGGCACATACTAGAAACATGAATTCTACCACGATCTCGAACATGATAGATAGAATCACATACGGTGCAGCGGGAGCAACACCACCGGCGTTGACGTTGTCGCCCATGTCGTCGAGGATGAGGTTGCGGAGGTCGGGGAAGAAGTCGTCGTTCGCGAAGTCATCGCTGCCAGCAGTCACGCGAGTGCGCTCCCCAAAAACCTGATCGCCCCTCTCCCGTACAAGATCACGAGAGGCGGGGTTCCGGAGGCCTGCTGTCCCTTCTCCCGGTGCACGCCGAAAGGAGGGATGGAGAAGACTTGCTTGGCGGCGCAATGATCTGGAACGATGGTGAGAAATCATACGAAGCGGCGGCGGCTAGGATAGACGTTTGCCTGACTATATAGTGCGGGCCGGGTAGGTCGTGGGAGTAAACCCCACGTCAATTTTTCCCGAGCAGCAAAAATATAGACAACGTGCATAGCTCTGTCCTTGGCTCGGCTCAATCCCGCAACCCATGGCGCGTCGCGACGAGGCGAGGCGTGGCGTGGCGTGGCGAGGCGAGCGAGGAGAAGGAACGCGCGTGTAGGTCTCCTCTTCTCATGCTCATACAAGTGGTAGAAGAGCTCACCTTATAAAGAGGTGCAACTCTCTCTCAACTTATGAGGTGGGACTAAACTTTAGCCTCACTCACTCCACTCACATGTGTGCATGAATGGGCCAAGAGAATTTCAGAATTTTAGTTGGGCTTTGGGCCAAAAGCCCACTAGCAAATTCCAACATTATGGAGGGGCGGACTTCCACCACACGCCGAGGACGCCGTGAGCGCGCTCCAGGACGACTGGATCGCCGGAGGTCGCGGTAGGGGCCGCCGTTCGTCCCTATTCTTGCGAGATCCGTGTCAAATTGAAGTGGAGGACCACGAATATGAGGTGCGGAAGGGGACGACGGCTCAATTCTTGCCGGACCCAGACGAGTGTTGGTTAACGACAGCGAAATTGGTGGAGCTCAGGGGCCATATCGATGGGCGGCGGCGGCGCTCTGCTGGTTCGGGGAGAGAGAGAGAGATTAGGAAGGAGAGGAGAATGGGATGAAATGCTAACAAGTGGGCCCGTGTCTAGCAAAACGGTTCAACTAACGGCGTTAAAAATTTGTGCCACATCAGCCTGACTGGCGGGTCCCATCTGTCATAAACGTGCTCAGCCGAGGCAAATCCGCCGATCAGTGCTATTTGCAAAAATATTACGGTAGACACGGTGCTTTCTGCAAAAAAATGTAACGTAGTGTTTTTTGCAAACCGAGACTTCAAAGTGGTGGTTTTGTGCAATTTACTCGGACTGCAAGGATGTTGCCGCTGCAATCGACTATTGTGCTCGTAACTTGCAGCCCGTCGCCCATCTCCGCCTTTGTTGCTCGTAACAAGATGGTCTTAGCTGACCGGGATCTGGCCACACTTAGTTGCTCGCTGGCACTCCTCGGTGTCGCTAAGAAATGGAATTAAGAAGTGATAGATCTAGCTGTGTAATTTTTTTTGCGGGTGAATCTAGTTGTGTAACTTCTTATTGAAAATAATTGCATGATTGGATGTGAAGATTTGTTTACTTCAATAAATATAAATTTCAATGGGCACCAATAGATTTGATGCCACAAATCTGTATACATTCCATATGATGTTGCTTCCAGAAAAATTAAACACAATAAGAATCGCGCAATGTGCGCACTGTCGTGGCTTTGGGCGCACGGGGCGTGGGGGAGGCGTTGTGCACATCCAAGTTGACCTTTACTCTGTGAGGTGAAAATAAAAAACCGAGCGCGCGAGTGCAAAGAAGCGAGCGAGCGAGAGAAAAAGAAGCGAGCGACCGAGTAGCTGCGTAGCGATGCCTGTGACCTAACCCGTCTCCCCCAGCGAACCCCGCCTCCTCTCCTGCCGCCGCCGCCGCGCCCCCTTCTTCCCTTCTCCATGCTCGCCGCTGCCGACGCCGCGTCTGCCAGCCGCCCCGCCTCGAGCCAGCCGCCGTTCGGTAAAAACCTAACCTCCACACCCACGCCCCCACCAGTCCCTCCCTCCTCTTCCTCGACCTCCCTCCTAGCTGCCTCCGCCTCCCCTCCGCGGTCGACCTCCTCGTTGCCGGTGATGCTACAGCGCCTTGGCCCGGTCGTCTCTGTCTCTTGCCGTGCTCTCTCATGCTGCTGTGCCTCCTGGACGACGCTCCCGTGCCTCGGATGCACCCCCTTCTCTCCCGAGCTCCAGATCCATGGCTGCAGCGGCGAGGTAAGCAGCGCAAAGGCTCATAGCGACGAACTGGGTTATGTTTGCTGCCGTGAACTGATGTTTGCACACTAATTGTTTCCATGGTTAACTGATTTGCCTTCTATCATCTAATATTTAATGCTGATAGAATGTGTAGAAGCCATTAGCCCCTTCCTAGAGTTAATTTGGTTCCTTAAGAAAAAAGAGAGTTGCTATGGTTGATTCCTTTGAGTCTGGTGCATTCACAAAGCATTTGTTAAAGTACAGACCGTGCCAATGAGGGTCTGTTTGGTTGACGCCCATGCCAGCCTTACCAACTTGGGGCTAGCCAATTGTTTGGCGCAGGATTTTGCCACCGCAGGCTCGCCAACAACCTGGCGCAAAAACTGAACGCACGACCAAAACTTTGGCGCAGATCCGGAATTTTGGCTTCCAACCAAATGCTTGCCATTGAGTGGGTCAACGACCAAAAAATTGGCAGGGCTGCTAACGGCTGCGATCCAAACAGCCCCTAATTCATCAACTTTTTGTAGCTGCCGTTCCTGCTGTTCTAAAGAAGCTGCCTATGCTTCTTAGAGCAAGGGGCCATAATCAGTACAGTTTCTCGTAGTAGATGTTGATGATTTTACTCAATATCTGTTTGTCTAACCCTTATAGATGACATGGTATTTCTTTTCATATGTCGTTTGCGTGTAATGTTGTCTGCTAAACATTCTCTTTTGAGTAATAGCTAAATTGATCTAATCTACATTTTAGTTGTAACAAAGTAAAGCATAACCAGTATCTGTTGTATTATTTCTACATTTTTTTACTTATGTATCTTTGAGTACTGAACCACAAAATCTTTTTTTGGTTGGTTGTAGATGAAATTGCAACACCTGGTACCAAGACCATGCTGGGATTTTCTGATCATGTTAGGAGCTTTGTCAATCCTGTATGGACGACCTCTTTGAGTGGAAATGATTCGGATACAACATCACGGACAGGAAAACAGTTGGACATCAGCCATGAAAAGGTTCGAGGTCTTTCACGGAGTTTCCTACCAGCTATTCATCTAGAGCACTATCCTTGTGAAAATTTCTCATTTTCTCCTCCATCTATTGATAGGAGACGCACTCGACAAGGGTGTAAGTAGTCTCACCAGTCCAATTCAGAGTTACAAGAAAGTTCTAAATCTGATAATTTTAAACTTGTGTAGCATGTCCTGTTTGTTATGTGCCTGTTGACCAGGGCCTGGCATTGATGCCAGCTGCTCATCTGTCCGAAGACAATTTGGTACTCATAGGTCCAATAGTGGTTCTTTATTTTGTGGTTATCCATCCCTGGAACAACGAGATATGTCTTATATGACATAAAAGACTCGATGACACTACATTGTGGGTATGTCCTTGTATGACTCAAATGATTTAACTCTTGTACATTTATATGATCACTGTGTGTTGTATCGCTAACCTTTTCTTTATATTAAGATCTGTGAGGGGGGAAGATACATGGTCTCGATACTGCATTCGATGTAGATGAAGCTGGTCTGTCTGAGATGCGGCAGTGCCAGGGGACATTTGCTTCTGCTATTTTTGGGAACTGCATCCTCTTTTCTATGCCAATTATATTTGCATGTTGTCATGTTTCCATGCCGGTGCTAATTGCACATCGTGTGTGAACTTTCTTATTTGTTTTTCTCAGAGAATTATGATATAATGCAACGACCAGAAAACATCAGTACATTTTCAAAAGATATTGTTTGCTTCTTCATGTTTCTGGATGAAGAAACTGAAGCTGCAATAAAGAAGATCCCTACTGTTGATAATACGAAAAGAATCAGGCTGTGGCGGGTGGTTGTTGTGCACAACCTTTTCCTGACCCAACAACTTTCGTGAAAATCAGCCTAAAATCACTGTGCAGTTCATTGTGAAGAAAATAAAAAAAAATACTACTGAACCGACAGAGTTTTGAAGCTGGCTTCGCCGCTGCTGTACTGTACATTAGGTTATTTGATTTTCCTAATTGAATCTTTTTGGTGCCAGTTACTTCTGGCATGGAGATTGTGCACAAGTTAAAATTCAGCTTAGCGGGCAATGTAAACTAAAATTTAGTTGCAAATATAATTTTACGCAATCTTCTAAAAGCAACATGCGCTCTTATCTAGATAGCTGATCCAACATGTTTTCATTCTTTTCTGCATTGGGTCAGTGTGAAAAGTTTCTTGACTCCACAACCATCTTTCCGTTCTGTTGAAAGACGAGATGAGTATGCCATGCTTAATGTGAATCAGCATGAGCGAATTGTTTTCCTAATCACGTATTTTCCTTGTGGTAATTTTTTAATTGAAATGCCATGCTTAATGCGAATCAGCATGAGCGAATTTTTTTCCTAATTGTGTATTTTCCTTGTTATAATTTTTTAACTGAATCCCTTGTGATATTTAGGTTCCAAAACTATTACTTCATCGGCTCTTTCCTAATGTGCGGTATTCACTCTGTATCGATGGGAAACTTAAACTTGTGAAGGATCCTTATCAGCTGTTAAAGAGGTAAACATCACGTTCTCTTCCTGACCTCTGTCTGCTACTTATAAACTACTCTGCACACAACTCAATGAAAGTATGCCGTCAAAAAGTAAGTTTGCTTGTTGCCAGTGCCACTTATGCTCTATCTGTTGTATTAAGAGATCCAAGCTGCACCATATTCTTACTTTAATATTAAATCTACTCTTTTCTAGATTTTGACTTTTTATTATTTTGATTCTGTATACACTGCCATGCTGCAGATTCTTGTGGAGGAAAAATGTGCGCTTCACTATTTCCAGGTATTATAGACGCTTTGATGTCTTTGAGGAAGCTGAGGCCAACAAGGCTGGAAGTATGATAATGCTTCAATCGATAACCAAATAAAGTTCTACAAGACAGAGGGTTAACCCATTATTCATCAGCTAAGCTCCTTATTGCAAGCTGCAAATGGTTCTTCTCGCTGAATTCTGATATAGAAATATTTCTCCTGAGAACATAAGGGATACATTTATCTTGAACAGATTCCCTGAGGGTTGTGTAATTATAGGAGAGCACATACCATCACCAATCTCTTCACATGCCTTTGGTTCAATGAAGTTGATCGTTCACCTCAAGAGATCAGCTAAGCTTTAGCACAACGAGGGATAAAATAAGATCAAGAGTTCTTGTTGACAACTAAATAAGATCAGGAGTTGATTGGACTGCAGACATGTTCCTGGATTGTGGAAGGCGTGAATTTGTTGTTCAGGTATTTTTTGAGTTAATGCTTTGTGCGGCACATCATTCCATTTGCAACCTGAAGTACTATTGCAACTTGGTACCGAGTGCAGACTTTGTCAAATTACACACAAAAAATTCCAGCATAACAATGGATCTTCGCATCTTCATAGCGAGCTGTTTGAAAACAACATCAGTGGACCGATGATTTTTTTTGGAAAGAACACAATGTCAGGATCTTTGACATAATAGAATTTTGCTGGAGTTTGAGGCTATCTATTGATGAGGTATCCTGGAGAGCTGCAAGTTGCTTTTCTTGTTTTGAATCATGTTCTTGTTGTTTTCTCCTTGCTGAGAGTGTATTATGTGGGTAGTGTACTCATCATGATCTCTGAAGCTATGCTTACAGTTGCATCATTGTTTTCTTGAAAATTGACCCTCTAAATTCATGTTCTCTTATAACCGATCCTGTAAAATCTTCCTTGTATTTTAATGAAGTTTCACACCATGCCCTTTGAGATAACAAGTGGGACATTACAAGGCTTATTAGTTGTTACTGATTGTGGTTAAGCTCGTCCATTTTGTTGGAGGCCAGCCATATGCCAAACACAACACAAAAAGAAAATTGAAATGGTTGCCACCTACCTAGCACCGTAGAGCTTCCGCCCAGTGTATTATGTGGGTAGTGTACTCATCATGATCTTTGAAGCTATGCTTACAGTTGCATCATTGTTTTCTTGAAAATTGACCCTCTAAATTCATGTTCTCTTATAACTGATCCTGTAAAATCTTCCCTGTATTTTAATGAAGTTTCACATCATGCCCTTTGAGATAACAAGTGGGACATTACAAGGCTTATTAGTTGTTACTAATTGTGGTTAAGCTTGTCCATTTTGTTGGAGGCCAGCCATATGGTTGCCACCTACCTGGCACCGCAGAGCTTCCGCTCGGGAGGAGCACCAGGGTGTGCCCCAACCACTAGTCCCAATCAAGGGTGTTACAACTACGTACTTGGTGTCCCTCTAGATGCATAGGCCCGGGACAACTTCTTAATATTGCTCAACTTTTGGATGGCATGTTCTAGTTCATTTATCGGAAGACATTTTCTAACAGTTGCAAAGTTCCTCCGAAATCTAGGCATCTACGTTCCATTCCTCCTTTGGGTCCATGTCTAGTCTGTTCACCCATCTCCCTCCATGTCTACGAACGGTTGATGCCCTGCACACTCTTGGCCTCCTCGCTCTAAGTCGATTTCAACCGCCAGGTCTTCCCTCAAACTAATCTAAGCCATAATTTAGGATGTGGCCAAGGCTTCTTTCTTACCCTGAGTTGTGTTTCTCATGTGACTGCCAGTAGGCCTCAAGCATGGTCCTGGCCCCATGACACAAGGACCTTCCGTTTCTCTGCGATCACTCGATCGAGGGCTCGTCTGTCCCTGAGATCGCTGCGACCCTGATCCCGTTTGTCCCGTGGAGACGGTGCCGCCAGAGACTTGTCTGTGATGCCCTTCAAGGTGGCCTATGGATTCGGGACATCCACGGTGCCATGGGCCCCGCCGCTGCTGTTGAGTAGGTCGAGCTTTGGCGCCAGATTCAGAGAGTGCAGCTATCTACCGAGCCCGACAAGATCGCCTAGAAGTGGACTAGTAATGGCATCTACACTGTCGGCTCGGCCTGCAAGGCCCTGTTCGCTAGTTCGATCAATGCACCCTTCTGGCGTCTCATCCGGCGTACCTGGGCCACCGCCAAGTTCTTCCTTTGGCTTGCCTCCATGGATCGCTGTTGGACTGCCAAGCGGCGTGCTCGCCATGGACTCCCACATGAACCCCTATGCAAGTTCTGCGACCAAGAGCTCGAGACCCTGGATCACCTATTGGTGCAATGCGTCTTCTCCAGAATCACATGGCACGAAATTCTATCGTGGTGTAGACTGCCGACTCCGCCGCCATCCATCGTGGCGCGCTTCTTCACCTGGTGGACCGGCACCGCCAGCGCCGCTCCGCCCAGCCTGCGCAAGGGAACCAACTCCCTCATAGCTCTCGTCGCTTGGTCTCTCTGGAAGCACCGTAATGCTGCGGTCTTTGACAACCTACGACCATCGCATGATGACCTTGCTCGATCTATCTGGGACGAGGCCCGTCTGTGGGCTCGTGTCGTAGCCAAAGGATTAGAAGTAGTTATTCCCGCATCCTGAACATCTTGTATCGAGGCTGAGCAACCTCTTCCATGCTCAATCACACCATGTGGGATGCCTACTAGCGTACGACCCCTAGGGATGCACACGCTGTAACTTCTCTTCCACACTATCAATGTAAAGATACGCAACAATGTGTATTTACGAGAAAAGGTTGACGCTTGGGATTGCCGTAAGAGCGTCTCTCCGCCCCAGCTGCACGGTCCAGTTCGGGCCCCCGAACTGCACGCCATCAGCCTGTGTGAGGATCTACTTGATAGGAATGACACAATCTACTCAAATCAATCAAACTCAGCGGAAGAACTAGCGGAATTGATGGCTAATTTGATAGATCAAGAGGTAAGATACCCCGTCTTGAGAGTACAATGAGTAGGGTTCTACTCTAAACTAGGAAAGGGGAATTACAACCCGCCTTCCTCCATGGACCAGAGGGGCTAATATAAACTCTTTACAGCTCAACCTGGTAAAAGAAACTACTGTTACAATGGCCAGTAACAGTAATAGTTTGAGTGAAACGGTGAGGAGCAATCCTTGAACATTATCTTGCCATCTCAGCCATCGTTTGACAAAATCCTTCTGCACTATCTTCTCTTTCAGTGTTGCCTGGGTTCAGGTTCTCTGATAGCCCGTCACCCAACGTTAGTCGAAGTCCAGAGAGCATGGCGTAGCTGTATACAAGAAAAACATAGTTGAGCCTTGATGCCGGCGTATCAGGCTGACGGAGTCACGAGCGGTGAGGGCCAGGACGTCTTCGCATGAGATGGTGGCGTTGCAGGAGGCCTCGATGCGAGTCTCGATGCCGTCTATGATCTCGTAGCCACGCACCGACTTCGCGTTCGGCGCTGCGTTCTTCTCGCCGGTGAAGTTGGCCGTGTCGTCGAGGAGTATGGAACCGTCGCAGCCCTGCAACACTCGCGCGCCCGCGTCAATAGTC